TGAAAGGAGTTGCCGATCCCAGTCATTGCATTTTTATTATCTATTAAACTTTAACTTGATGCATTGAAACAAGTAATGCTAAACTTGTATAAGCAAATTTGTTCATATAAATTTATGATCGGTTATTGTTTTAAGATATTCTAAATTAAGATGTTATAGTGATTTTGTTTTAAAGATTTTTTTATTGATCACAAATAATTTTTTTAAACTCTGTTTATTTTGTAAAAATTAATTTTCAAAAAATATTTAGAAGAAATATTAAAATTTAAATCTAAAATTTTTGTATGAATTATCGGAGTAAAATTGAGATTCATATATATATATATATATATTAAATTTTTGCATATTTAAAATTCAAAAATCATTAATTTTATCTTAAAAAACGCCAAGTCTTTGTCTTTTTTTGAAAAAGAAAATGTTGTAATTAGAAATAAACTCACAATTATACTTCATTTCCCACTAGAATAAATTAACAACATAAAGCTTTTTAGTCCTTGATGTTATGAATGCTCACTATATTACATGTTTTTACTGAGTTTCCTTTGCTTCTGTCTTCTTTTCCTTCTGTTCCTCGGTCACCTTTGGGACAGCTGGTCCCTCAGTTTTTTATTCTTCTTTCTTTGGCTCTACCTTGGCTTCTTCCTTCTTTGCTTCTAGTTCTTCATTTGATTCTTCTTTCTTTGGCTCTGCTGGAGCTTGTACTTGGGGCTGCTGGGTCTCATTTGGTTCCTTCTTTCCTTCAGTCTTTTCATGCTGCAGTCCAAGCATTTACAAGAACAGATAAATTAGGCAATCAGTGCAACTACGAAAATGTGGGGTAACCTAAAAGAAAAGGTAGAATTGATAATATTACTTCAACAAGCAAAGAACCAAGAGATTGTTGTTTGGTTTCATCAACTTCATCAGCCTTGTTTTCCTCTTTCTCAACCTTGATCACTTCCTCAGTGGTGTGCCGCTCAGCCTGAACAGATTCCTCCTTGGCAGGTTCAGGAGGTGGCGCAGCCGAGGCCTCACCCCTCATTTCCTTTGGCACACTAGCGCAAGCACCCATGTTGGTTTGATCAATCTCTAAAATTAATTCCAAAAAGAAGAAGAGAACCTTAATTTCTCTCTCTCTTTATATTAACCTTAGAGAAAGGTTTGCAGAAGAAAACAAAAACAAAAAGGGAAATGAAGCTTTTTGTGATGAGAATCATTTGCCTTACAGCGGGGCTTTAAATAGGGTTTGGTTTGTTTTGCCCATATGCTTTTCAATGGTGCAGAAAGATTCAAGGGAGGCAGTGGCTAGCAATCTATATAATTTAACTTGTTTTTGTTCCTTAAATCTTTAAATAGAACTGAAATAGCTTGGCTTTTAGGATCCTTTTTCACTTAATTTAGCCTATCTTATTATATTTATCAAACCATAATTTAAATTACATTAGTTAATTTTAGACACGCATAAATATGATATGATTTTAAATTTAAAAAGAAATGCATATGAATTTTTAAAAAATTTATTTCATATTTGTCGTATAAATATAAATTATAATATGACAATTTTTACTTGACATAAAACAAATATGATATAAATATATCAATTGATAAGTCTAGTTTAAATTGTTACAGCTTTATGGAAAAAAAAAAACCTATTTTAAGCAGTTTTTGAAAAGAAATTTAAAATTATTTTTATTCATTTTTTAAGTTAAAGCAATTGCTTTTGTTCTATATCATCATATTTTCAATGAAAATAAACTAAATTTAACCATAATTAATATGAAATAAGATCACCATTTATAATTCATGAACACAAAGCAGCTTTGATAAGATTTTTTTATTTCATTTTATATTTACTTTTAGAAACAAGAATATTTGCAACAAATTTTAGTAGTCTAAACAATAATGAATTATATTTTTAAAAATTTTTAAATCTCTCTAAGAGAAAAAAGAAACTTAAAAAAAAAAAATAACAGCAAAGAAGCAAGTGCATGTATCATTTCATATAATTGGAATATTGCTACGTAATATTTTGTTTTAAAATTGTGATTTTTTTATTTTAATTTTTTTGTTAGAATATTTATATTGACCTGATAATATAAAATACGATATAATGATACGATACGAATATGATATAAAAAAAACACGAAAGTAACAATTTAAAATTTTTGTAATACCTATATATGAGTTTAACAAAACCAAAAAAATGTATTTCATATTTCTTTTTAATATAAATTGTGACATATTTTTTTTATATAAACCATAATATTAATATATAAATTTTAATATTTTATATGATGGGAATATATGAATTATTATGTTTACATTTATATTTTGCATATTGAATAGATTACGGGTCAGTCCCGACTGGATTAAATCAAGCCCATATGAATTGTGGCCCACTATTAGGCTTTACCTTTGAGGCTTAAGCTCCATTGAGCTTGAAAGCGGGTCGGGCAGTGCTTGCCACTGTCAGCCCACTCCACAATCTCATTCATCGACGAAACCCTAAAACTCTGAAAACCACCGCTGAGCTCTGTATTAGCTAATCGTTCGACGCCTCCTCAATGCGGCAATTTCTCTTCTTCCTTCCAACTACAATTTCGAAATCCATAAATGCGACTGGCGGGTCCGTTCCACGGGCACTAAGCCCGTCGCCCTACAATTTCCCGAAGGTCTCCTATTGTATTCCCTTGTCATCTCCGATATTCTCACTTCCTGCTCTGACGTCACTTACTGCTTTGTCCTCGGCGATGTCACCTATGGCGCATACTGCGTCGACGACCTCTCTGCTACCGCTCTTGGTGTCGATTTGTTAATCCACTACGGCCACAGCTGCTTAGTCCCAATCGACTCCACCAAATTCCCTTGCTTTTACGTCTTCGTCGAGATTAAAATCAATGTCGACGGTCCCGTCAACACAATCGAGCGCAACCTAACTTCTTCCAAGTAATCCGTTATCCTTGCCGGGACGATTCAGTTTTCCTCGGCGATTAGATCAGCGAAGCCAGAGCTAGAAAAACGAGGGTTTAGGGTTTTAATCACTCAGTCAAAACCGCTATCAGCTGTTGAAGCTTTAGGTTGCACCGCTCCCAAAATTGGTTCCTTTACAAACGAATCCGTGGCGGTTTTTGTGGCAGACGGAAGGTTTCATTTAGAAGCGTTTATGATTGTGAGCCCAGGGATCAAGGCTTTTCGATACGACCCTTATTTAGGGAAGTTGTTTCTGGCGGAAAATGATTATAAGGGGATGAGGGAAACGCAAAGAGAGCTATAAAGAAGGCAAAAAGAGCTAAGAATTGGGGTTTGTGTTGGGGACATTGGGGAGGCAAGGCAATTCTAGGGTTTTAGAGAGGTTAGAAGGGAAAATGAAAGTGAAGGGATTTGATTATATGGTTATTTTGATGTCTGAAATTAGTCCTACACGGATTGCTTTGTTTGAAGATGCAGTGGATGCTTGGGTTCAGATTGCTTGTCCTAGGCTTTCCATTGATTGAGGTGATGCGTTTGTAAAACCTTTGCTGACTACATTTGAGACACAGATTGCACTTGGGGAGATACCCAGGTGGTGGGAGAGAGAGGGTTGTGGTTCTTGCGGAAATGGTTGAGTTGCAGGGGATGAGAGGATTTTCATAGCGACTATCCCATGGATTATTGTGCACAGGATGGTGGGGAATGCAATTCCTCTTATGTGAAGAAGCTGGCTGGTCCTGTGAGGAGAAATATTGCTCCTGCCTCCACTAATGGTGCTGTGCTTTAGCAGGGGCAATTCAAACTCCATTCATGTGAGAACTGTTATCTATTTCATAGGAGGTTTGAACATGAGTTGCTAGTTGAATACCTCGTTTTCTTTTCATTTGTCAATTGCAAATTTGTTGATCATAGAACGTGCTATAGACAGGTAGCTTGAAGACCACTTGGGTTTGAAAGGGTCGCTGAAATTTGTTGTTGTTTCTGTTTCTTTAAGTTGTCTACAGAAAGAGAACCACAATCAAGCGTGATGGGCTTTTGAAAATGGTTATATATAGCTTTTGATTTGCATATATGCAAACCAGTTTAATAAACCTAAGGTTCAGAAGTCAAAGAAACTGAACTCATAGACACATGACTGAATAATGTAGACTTCAGATCATCCAATTCGAAGGCAGTTCCCGTGAAGGATAGCAGGATCAGATTCATCATACTCACCCTTGGAAACCCACATCTGCGACATTGTAAAATAAAAAAATGAGTAATGAAAGCCAATTACATCCAGTACACCTCACAAGAGCTATACTTGGAAAATTGGAAGTTCAAGCACAAAGGATACCTGCTGGAAGGTGCTAAGAGATCCTAAATTGGATCCTCCAATCCATTCACTGTATTTTCTCTCAGAAGGTGCAACCACCTTGATCTTATGTTGCTAGGGGCAAGAGCACTGATTTCTTTGCTCATCCCCTCAGCAATACCAGGGAACATGGTTGATCCACCACTAAAAACAATGTTTCCGTACAGATCCTGATATCAACATCACACTTCATGATGGAGTTGTAAGTAGTTTCATGGATTCCAGCAGCTTCCATTCCGATCAGAGATGGCTGGAAGAGTACTTCATGGCAACGGAACCTCTCTGCTCCAATTGTGATCACTTGCCCATCAGGCAATTCATAACCCTTTTCAATAGCAGATCTACTCTTGGCAGTCTCCAGTTCTTGCTCATAATCAAGAGCGACATAAGCAAGTTTATCTTTCATGTCACCAACAATTTCTCGCTCGGCACTCGTTGTGAAAGAGTACCCTCTCTCGGTTAAGATCTTCATCGAGGAATCTGTAAGATCACGACCAGCAAGGTCCAATCGGAGAATAGCATGGAGGAGGGCATAGCCTTCATAAATTGGCACTGTGTGGCTCACACCATCACCAGAATCCAGGACAATACCTATGCAAATATATGAGAATAGAGTTAATAACAGATGAAAGGAAAACAAACAAAACAAAATCTTCATGCCAATTTCTAGTTTGCAATATTAAATAACAAAATGGCATCAATGAACAATGCCAAGTGACTGTACAGCTAAACTTATTTCATAGTCAGTGACCCCATAATACAGCCAAAACCAGTTATCTAAGCTATAAATAGATACCTGTTGTACGACCACTGGCGTAAAGTAAAAGAACTGTCTAACTAGCAACATACATAGCAGGCACATTGAATGTTTCAAGCATATCTTCTCCCTATTAGCCCTAGGGTTGAGTGGTGCTTCTGTAAGAAGTACTGTATGTTCTTCGGAGGCAACACGAAGCTCATTGTAAAAATAAATAAAGTACAATAAGATATGGTATATAGTTTGTTGAATTTTCTAAATACAGACGGTGTAACTGATGCAGGAGGCAACAGCCAGCAAGGTTCCCAACAGAGTATGGGAAAAGCCTGGATGTGAAGAAGGTGCCCCATGGTGATTTAAAAGGTTAATATGTGTTCTCCAAATGTTAACTTGTCCTCCCTTGTAAAATGTGAACAGCATTGCACCACCTATTCCCATTAACGTTCCAAAGACTTTTGCCTTCCCTGACATTGTTCCAAAAGATAGCTTTTCCATTCTATGATAAAAAAAATAAAAAAAAGTGATCATGGCATTTGATAGCATATCAATTTATAATCGAAAATCAGGGGCGAGGAAAAGATGCAAACCCAACAGAAACGGCCAATATGAAGGTTGTGACTGGAATGAGATTAGTCATGGCAGCAACAATGTTGCAGATGTTAAAGCCAGGCTTTCTATATACAAATTCTGAGATAGTGATCCCCTGCAGGAAAGGACATAAGGTGTGGCTCAAACTTACTTAATTTACTTAAAATACAATCCTGTTGATTTGAGTGATAAGAAATTTGATTCTTTTTAAGTAAGATTTTTGAATCTTGGGAATAGAAAAAATAAATTGAGAAGAGCTTACTTTTTTTATGAGATCTGACCCGATTCAATTTCGAATTAATTGAAATTAAAGTGATTACTGAACACTGAAAAATTTAAAAAAAAAAAAACCTTAAAATCTTGACCGCAAACTTACCCAAATAACCCACAAAGAAAAAGCTTGGAAGAGTATGGTCCAAGTCAGATTTGGCCTATCATGAATGAAAGAAAATTCAAAAAAACTATAGATCAACGATTAATATATATATATATATATATATATATATATATTGGGTTTTTTTTTTTTATGAAATACTATTTAGATTACAATGAAATACATTGTTAATGTATTTATAAAAAATTAAACGTGATTCAAATCAACACATTTGTAATTTCTTTTCATATTGTGTTGCTACAATTTTTTTTTTTAAATTACATGGGCTGTCTTTTTATTTTTTATTTTTAATTAATGAATTAAACAACAAGTCTGCAACCCTTTCAATCATGTTTCTTCCTTGTAGAATAAATTTTTGAGCCTTTATGCATGTTTCTTGAAACATAATTAGAAAGGCAAAAGAAAAGGCAAACCTTTCAACAAGGAGAGCAAGAGGAAGCATAAGAAGAACTGCAAATAAGAATCTGTAAGCAGTGATAATCCTCAAGCTCATTCCATCATGTGCTGCCAATATATACAACACATTCATTCCAGCAAACGTCATTTGAACCATCACCATCACCATCACCTTCATCACCATTTTATTTTTTTTTTTTTTAAGAAGCTTCTGCCCTGTCGTTTTCTACTGCTTCTGCTCCTTTGCTGACGGAGCACTGCAGTTGCCAAAACCCTAGGTTATTAAAACAAAAGAAAATAGTAAGCGATAGAGATTGTGTTACCACAATCATAAGTTGTAACGTATTGGGGAGCTTCATATGACGTATTCAAGTACGTAGAACCTAATCAACATGTGCTCAGTTTCTAATATTTTGATTAAAATTAGTGGTTATGAATTCACGTCTTGCTTAGTTCGTTTTACGTAGTTAATTTTAAAGGTGCTATACGGGTGTAATTGATATATTTATATTATAAATGATTTGAATTTGATTAGGATAAATTTTGAATTTGTTTAGATTATTATTGAGTTAAGTTTGTATTTGAGTTATTTGACTTATCAAGTAAGATGAATTTAAAATTAATTTGAGTAATTCGTAAGCTTAACATAAATTTTATATTTTAATACATATTTTTATTATTTAATTAAGAAATTATTATTATTATTATTATTATTATATTTAAATCTAAGTTCGAATATAAATAATCGAGTTTGAAATCATGTATATGAGTCGAGCTCATTTTTTATTCGATAAATGAGTCTATTAGAGTAAGTTTAAATAACTTAGTTTTTATCTTAAGCTGAGTTGGAATTTGAAAATTAAAACTCAATTGAATTCGAGTTGAATTTCGAGCAATAAATTTTAGCTTTAGCTTGAATTTTTTATTATATCGACTCGACTTGACTCAATTATATCTTTAAATTATCATCCAACAAATATTAGATTTAAATACCAATATCTATAATCTCTTAGGCTCATATTGAATTATAAACATGTTAACTATCACCTCTTAGAAATTACTTAAATATTGGGCTTTTTTTTATTAATTTTAGGGAGATTTTAATTAATTGCAGTTAATGATCATAATATTGAGTTAATTAATAAAATTTGAATGTCACCAAGAAAATAGAGAAGATAAATTGAATGCATATATTGTCATAGTTTTTATATATTTCTTGAAAATTATATATCATGATTAGAGGTGTAAATGAATAAAACATTTGACGAGTAGTTCGTGAACATATTCAATTTTCATTCATTTATATTCACTAATTAAATTTAATAAATAATTATGAATAATATTTTAAGATTTGTTAATTAAATAAACATATCACATTCATATTTAGTTTGTTTGTGAAAATTAATAAAGCATTTAATGAATCATTCGTAAACATTTTCAATTAATGTTTGTTTATTAAATATAATAAATAATTATAAATAATATTTTATAATTTGTTAATTAAATGATCAGATAATAAACATAATCATATTTGTTAATGTTCAATTCTTTTACACATCTTATTACGATCCAATCTAAGTTTTAGTATAAACTGGTGTAGGTATTATATAAAAGTTTTTCTTAGGTTTTCCTATAAATATTATATATATATATTAATATATATAACAAATGAAAGGAGTTGTCGATCCCTGTTATTGCTTTCATTTTCTATTAAACTTTAACTTGGTGCATTGAAACAAGTAATCCTAAACTTGTAAAAGCAAATTGTTCATATAAATTTACGATCGGCTGTTGTTCCAAGATATTTTAAATTAAGATGTTATAGCGATTTTGTTTTAAAAATGTTTTATTGATCACAAATAATTTTTTTAAAATTCCATTTATTTCGTGAAATTTAATTTTCAAAAAATATTTAAAGGAAATATTTATAAATATTAAAATTTAAATTTAAAATTTTTGCATGACTCATCGAGTAAAATTGAGCTTCATATATATTAAATTTTTGTATATTTAAAATTAAAAAATAATTAATTTTATCTAAAAAACTCTAAGTCTTTGTCTCTTTTTGAAAAAGAAAATGTTGTAATTAGAAATAAACTCACAATTAGACTTCATTTCCCAATAGAATAAATTAACAACATAACGCTTTTTCGTCCTTGATGTTATGAATGCTCACTATATTACATATTGTTACTGAGTTTCCTTTGCTTCTGTCTCCTTTTCCTTCTGTTCCTGGCTCACCTTTGGGACAGCTGGTGCCTCAGTTTTTGGTTCTTCTTTCTATGGCTCTACCTTGGCTTCTTCCTTCTTAGTTTCTGGTTCTTCATTTGATTCTTCTGTCTTTGGCTCTGCTGGAGCTTCTACTTGGGGCTGCTGGGCCTCGTTTTGCTCCTTCTTGCCCTCAGTTTTATCAGGCTGCAGTCCATGCATTACAAGAATAGATAAATTAGACAATTAGTGCAACTACGAAAATGTAGAGTAACGTAAAGAAAAGGTAGTATTGATAATATTACTTCAACAAGCAAAGAACCAAGAGATTGTTGTTTGGTTTCATCAACTTCATCAGCCTTGTTTTCCTCTTTCTCAACCTTGATCACTTCCTCAGTGGTGTGCTGCTCAGCCTGAACAGATTCCTCCTTGGCGGGTTCAGGAGGTGGCGCAGCCGACGCCTCACCCCTCATTTCCTTTGGCACACTAGCGCAAGCACCCATGTTGGTTTGATCAATCTCTAAAATTAATTCCAAAAAGAAGGAGAGAACCTTAATTTCTCTCTTTCTCTTTATATTAACCTTAGAGAAAGGTTTGAAGAAGAAAACAAATAAAAAAAAATGGAAATGAAGCCTTTTGTGATGAGAATCATTTGCCTTATAGCGGGGCTTTAAATAGGGTTTGGTTTGTTTTTCCCATATGTTTGTCAATGGTGCAGAAAGATTCAAGGGAGGCGGTTGCTAGCAGTCTATATAATTTAACTTGTTTTGTTTCCTTAAATCTTAAAATGGAACTGGTTTTTAGGATCTTTATCACTTAATTTAGCCTATGTTATTATATTTAACAAACCATAGTTTAAATTACATTAGTTAATTTTAGACTTGTACAAAAACGATATGATTTTAATTTAGAATGAAATGTATATGAGCTCAAAAAAATATATTTCATATTTGACTTATAAATATAAATTGTAATATGACAATTTTTACGTTTTATATATATTTGACATGAAATAAGTACAATACAAATATATCAATTGACAAATCTAGTTTAAATTGTGATTAACTTATGAAAAAAAACTATTTTAAGCAATTTTTGAAAAGAAATTTAAAATTATTTCTATTCACTTTTTAAAGTTAGAGCAATTGGTTCTTTCCAAATCATCATAGTTTCAATGAAAATAAATTAAATTTAACCATAATTAATATGAAATAAGATCATCATTTATAATTCATGAACACACAGGAGCTTTGATAAGATTTCTTCATTTCATTTTATTTTTACTTTTAGAAACATGAATATTTGCAACAAATTTTTAGTAGTCTAAACAACAATGAATTTTATTTAAAAATTTTTAAAATCTCCATAAAAGAGAAAAAAAAAAAGAAGCAAATAAGCGAGTACATGTATCATATTCATGTAATTGGAATATTGCTATGTAATATTTTGTGTTAAATTGTGATTTTTTTATTTTAACATTTTAGTTGCAATATTTACATTGACTTGACAATATAAAATATAATATAATATAAATACGATATGAAAAAAAAAACAAAAATATTGATTTAATATTTTTGCAATAACTACATATAAGTTTAACAAAATCAAAAAATATATTTCATATTTTTATGTTAACATAAATTATAACATATAATTTTTATATAAAATATAATATAAATACATAAATTTTAATATTTTACACAATATAAATATACGTCTACATTTATATTTTGCATATCAGATAGATTATAGGTCAGTCCCGACCTAAATGAAATCAAGCCCATATGAATTGTGGGCTATTATTAGGCTTTACCTTTAAGGCTTAAGCTTCGTTGAGCTTGAAAGCAGGTTGGGCGGTGCTTGCCAATGCCAGCCCACTCCATAATCTCCTTCCTCGATGAAACCCTAA